AACGTGAATCCATGAGTCTAGCATGCATTATATATAGTATCTATTTTATTTTACCGAGCCACGCTATAGTCGGCCGGGTATGGCACCTATTGTGCAACCACTGATAAATTGGGTTTACTGAGCTCCACGTGGCCGGGTATGATTCTACCGAGCCTTATGATGGCCGGGTATATTTTTACCGAGTCCTCCTTGAGGCCGGGTACGATATGATGATGATGAAGCCCACAGAGGCGTATGTTTTTAAAAGTTTATGTATATATATATTATGCATTTCATGTCAGTATCCCTAGAGGTACGTAGATGTTATAAGTTGTATCTTCTCTATCTCTCTTTACAATACTGTTCTTGTTTATGCTTTCCTGTCTTACATAGTCAGTACTTTATTGGTATTGACGTACCTTTTCCCTAGGGATGCTGCGTTTCATGCCCGCAGGTCCCAATTGATAGTTTGACATTCCTCCTAGTAGGCTATCAGCTCAGTGGAGGTGTTGGCGCACTTCACTTGCTCCGGAGTTGCCTATTTGGTCAGTATGCTTTGGATATGTATTGATTGGTATGGCGGGGCCCTGTCCTAACCTTTATGATTTTATTTACTCTTAGAGGCTTGTAGACAAATGTTAGGTTTATGGATACTTGTATGGCCTTGTCGGCCTATGTTTTGAGTTTACAAATGGTCATGTCGGCCTTATAGGCCCATATGTCACATGTATAAGTTTGTGTACCATGTTGGGTCTTCATATGTTGAGTATTCCCTTATGTTTTATTCTTGTTATCTCATGACGGGGTTTCTTGCTCATTTACTCATGATAGTATGATAAGAAAGATATATTACGTTGGTACTCGGTTAAGTAAGGCACTAGGTGTCCGTCGCAGCCCTTCGGTTTGGGTCGTGACAGAAGTGCTATCAGTGTAGTTCTGTCCTAGGGAGTCTACAAGCCGTGTCTAGTAGAGTCTTGTTTATGGGTGTGTTGTGCACCACACTTATAAGAAGGAGGCTACAGGGCATTTAGGGTTGTCACTCTTCCTTGTTACTCTAGATCGTGTTGTAGAGCTCAATTATAAGAATTCAAACTTCTAAATTCTATTGTATTCGTAATACAACGATACCTCATCCAAACATACAGTTGGTATGATATTGAATGTGGTTGTGGAAGAGTTGAGTCAGAGGAACTCGATTTTGCATCATGCTTATGATGAGCAAATGTGGGGTCTTCACCAGATCATGTGTGTACTAAGATGTGTAAGCTTCTTAATAAGGAGTCCTAAGACAAGAATATCTATCCATTCATATGGTAAAAAGGAATAAGAGAATCGAAAAGTAGACACAAGTTTCAGCAAGTAAAACAAGTAAGATAACGAAGAGTACGAGGTACCTAGTTAATGAAGATTATCAATATTTACAATTCAGGCAGAGAAATGTAAGTATTGGTGTTACCTTCAATATTATGGAGATATGTACAATTGACCACACCTATCTCAGTTATGCCCTATGGGAGCTAACAAATATAGTTTAAGAGAAGAATGTGATATCAAGATTCAGTTCGGGTTTGAGTAACCCAAAGATTATGGATAGATTGTTATCATTAACTAATGTTTCCGAAAGATGGTGCAAATGTGGTAATAGATCTCCTTATGAGACATCCAGATGGTGAACTCTAAAGTAGTACAATCAGATATGAATACTGGAAAATTCAAAAATTTCAGAAGATAGGCAATGTGATCCTAGAAGGGACAAATATTTACCTTAGTATGACTCTAGCCCCGAGTAAAAAAAAGGAGAATGTTAAGCATTCAAAAGAGTCAGTGAGATGAAGCTAAGGGAGCTAAAAGGGAAAGAACTTTTTGTTGAAGTTTTCAAAATAAAGTGATAGACAAAAAATATTATCCGGAGAATAAGCAGAGAGTAAATGAAGCATCATGAGTAAGATGTGATATATGGGTGATAACAATAAATCAAAATATGACACGATGACAGAGTCTATAGTCAAGTGAAGGAAAATACAAGAGGTGATAGGCCTTGAGGCAATAAAAGAGTATAAGCCATAATGTCATATCCTTATTTCGAGAAATGAGTTGATGACTTCAACGTGATTACTAGGAGGAATGGTTAGACCCCAGAGTAATAAAAATTAGCATGGGATGGTGAACAAGAGAAATCGAATATGAATTAGGGACTGAAGGATTTTATAAAGGTTGATATGATGAGAATTTCAGAGATAACATTCCGACAATAATAGAATGGACAATAAAATAATAAACTTTAAGGTTCATTCACGAAGATGCTTCCCTAAAGCAAGCATGTGGAGCAGAGTTAAGCTTAAGGGAGTAAGTGTGCCAGTTACACTAAGTGTCACCCTTGTGCGTAATAAATTCAATTATCCCCGGTAAATAGAGGTTACCGCATGGCGAGTAAGATGTTAGTGAAGATGTGAAAAAAGTGACAAAATGAAGAGGTAACTATGGAATAGTAAATGAGGAATGCGGTAAAAGGGTGAAAGTAATGAGATTGCATCTATTCAGATCCTATAGATATGATATGACTCCAGAACATTATGCAAGCATGACGCCAGAGAGAAGCGGTAAGTTGCGCACCCGATGATATTGATAAATAAGTGCAAACTAACACTTGATACATAAGGAGCTAGCGCGAGAGGTAACTTAAGACAAAGCAAATAACTAAAGAGAGATTACGAGGAATATAGATATGAGAATGGACCAACGAGTAGTTTGTTGTTGATTTAGGAAGAGCCAAGTTATGGCTAGACAAGAGGTTATAAGTAAATCAGCAGATCATGCAAGATAAACGTACTGAATCCTAACATAGTGAATTCAGTCTCACAGATATGACGTCATAACCATTGAGAAATGTTCAGATAGGAGTTAGGGTATTTAAAGGTATCGTATAAGTGTTACGGAAATAATTGAGAGTGACACTAAGGAGACAATCAAAATTTGAGTCTAGAATTAACCCTACGAGCACAAGGGCACGAAGGTATCTAACTAAGGATGTTTGTAGGCGAGTAAGAACATCGAAAATTCCTTCGGTATACAGTATAACAAGATCGTAACTTTACAAGATACAGAAGGTCTCCTTAAGTACTACAAAGAAAGACTAGCTGAGAAAATAAGGAAGAAGGCTTCAACTTAAGCATAACGATATAAAGAATAAATGGTCTTGTAACAACAGTCTCACTACAATATGGTATACACTCCATAAGAAAGTGGCGCCTATAGTGGCTAATGAATGGAAAAAAATCAAAGGTGATGTTAGATCATATGAGGTACAGGAAATTATAGTATTCGTAGGAAATAAGACAAGCCAAGTATTCATGCAGAATGACCGGGAAAAGTAATTGCTTACATTTAACGAATGTAGAGAAGGCACGAAAGGAATTATTCAATCAATGACCCAGAGTTAGTTACGCGGTGAAAGCACTTAATATTTTAGAGTTATATCCATACAGCATATATTTTGACCTTCATACAGATATAAGAGGCTTCAGTATAAGTTAACAGAAAGAATTAAGTCCACATCACCGACAAAGGCTTGAATTGTTAGAATATTATATCATGGATGCAACATAGAGACCGTGAAAGGATAATGTAATGAATAATACTTTAACCTGAAGATTGGAAGATAGCCTAAGCCCACTTACAGGCTGAGAGGGAAGTGGAAGCTCTAAAGTTACATATGGAGTCCTCAGATATCGAGGTCGATTATATGTTTCTAATGTGGCAGGGTTGCGCCAGTAGTCTATGGGACAAGAAATGAGAAAGTAACCTGGAGTTGTGTAGCACACCTCGGTAATAATAAGCTGAAGTAAGTTTGTGGTACAATATGACCTACCAAGATGCATTAAAGCCATAAGGATAGATAACCAAGGCTATAAAACGTAATATAGCAATAGTCGTACATTCAGCAAAGTACCAAGCGAAGAAATTAAGTATACCTATATATGCCCAGAGGGACATCTTGTCATAGTTCTATATATGTATTCACAAGCGAAGCCAAAAGATTGGATAAAAGCTGGAAGAAAAAGGAGAGAAGAGTCGTGCATAAAAGAACAAAGTCATATAGGATATATCATAAAAGGTGGTCAAAGTTACGAGATTGGAAGAACTCTGGCCATGATTCGCGAGATGAGAATAGGCCTAAATGGAGGAATGCCCTGGTTTTTAAATTGATTCACATAACAATTGCCTATACGACAAAGAACAATCTTAAAGTATTCATAAGAGCCATATGGTATGAGAATGAGGTGCGCATCAATCAACATTCGAGGAAGAATGTTCCAAGGGGAAGAGTAATGTTACAACCCATGTTTTCTATGTGAAAGTGCGTCGTAAGTCACTTAATGTAACCTCAGAAATGAGATCCTCTTTGAAAGTATATTTGACGTTACGTCCCATTTTTTTTCAAGCCTTTTAAAGTTAATATTCAAGGACAAATGTTTATAATGGTACATGTTGTTACACCCCGTGCTTCCGACGTTACTATTTTTATAGGATTATCTAATGTAAGCTCAAAAAAGATAAAATCCTTCTACAAGGATAAGAAAGGTTTGCCGAAGTGTTAAGTAAGTTAAGATGAATATGATACTTGTTAATCATAATTTAAATGAGTTTAAAGCCATGATATGACTATATATGATGTTTGAATATGAAGTATAAATTTTGGAAAAAATCGGATTTAAGTAGCAGAAAAACAGACTAAGGATTTGCCTTGTAATTGAGCTTTTTGAGTAATACATTTTTTGTGCTATATGAGATATTTTTGGGACATATTATATACCAAATTGAAGGTCTTGGAATTTAGTTTTCAATGCTCTTAACCATTCCTTCATACGACATCCGGATAATAAGATATAAGTGTTTGAAAAAGGGCCAATGAGATGGTGCCAAGTAGCACCTTTTGACTTTTCAACCAAAATGGATATTTATCTTCCTATGTCGTCTGTTTCAGCATAATTCCAGAGAGCTCGACCAAATAAGACCCCTAACCTCACCCTTAATTTTTCCACAAGGTTATACAACTAGATTATCGTCCAAGGCACGAAATCACGAAGCAATAACGCTAGAATGATCCCCACGACGTAAGTAACGCCATATAGCCTCTCTTTTTCTTTCTAGTTTGAGTATTGGAAGGTATTTTGAAGTTAATAAAAATGCCTAATTTCTGATTTCAAGATCTTAAATATCAAGTAAGGTTGATTAATTCATTTCATAATAGTTAGAACTCACGGGACGGTGATCGGAAGCCGTGAGTTCGAGTTATTTAATTTGTAATGGACTATTTTGTGGGTTGTTTCGTGTAGCTTTTGGGCTGTATATTTTGCTGATATTTAATGAAGTTTTTGGAGGATAAATGGTGCGTAGAATAACCAAATAATGGAAAAATTATGGATTAGTCATTCTTTGTAATATTTTCGGGGTGTTGGACACTACTATAGTTGTTGTTTTTGGTATGAATTGATTGGGGTGTATTGGGTTGTTGTAAGCTAAATATAATATGTATTTCAACTTGTATCCACTGTAGGATGTAATTATCTTGTATTCCTATAGGCGCTTAAGGTTATCTTGGCATTGGTTAAATTAAATGGATGAACTAGACTTGAACTAGTGAATAAAGTTGCTAATTAAGAATAATTTGAGTTGTAGATCATTTTCTTTGTTATGGATATATGGTATAAGGCTGAAATTATTGATTAATGACTTCATTATCATGTTAATGATACTATTAAGTTAAATTAAAAAGTCTATAAGGGATGATATGGGGTATACGAATTCCAATTGGAGCTTGTCGCTCGTCGTAAAATAATTAGGACTTGTTGTAGTTTTATAGTGTCTTGTTATTGATAATTATTTATTGCTGAATTTCTCTGGTAATTGTTTTTGGTATATGGTATTGGAGGAGTCTCTTGTTATAGGGGAGATGCGGCCCGAATTTATATAAACGAGCTACAAGTTTAAGTTGCAGACTTAGCCTTTATTCAACACTGATTTTGAAACTCCTTATGCAATGGTAGATTGAGTTGAGTAGTTTGAAGAGTTTATTGGGAGGTATTAAGGACTCACCATGGTTAAGGTATGTTAAGGCACTTTTTTATTTCTTTTGGCATGATCTAAAATGAAACGAACATAAACGATATGCTATTTCATAGCGGATCTACTCCTAGCAACTAAGATTGTCCATATTGTTCTTTCCTTATAAAGTTATTCTAAGCAAGTGTGTATGATCCTTGAATCTTACTGAGGTTCATATTGAGGGTATGGATTTCTATAATGTTAATCTAAGGTGCAACGACCTTAAGTCACTCCGAAAGGTATAGAACGTGATTCCATGAGTGTAGCATGCATTATATATAGTATCTATTTTACTCTACTGAGCCGCGCTATAGTCGGCCGGGTACGACACCTATTGTGCAACCACTGATCAGTTGGGTTTACCGAGCTCCACATGGCCGGGTACGATCTACCGAGCCTTATGATGGCCGGGTACATTTTTACCGAGTCCTCTTTGAGGCTGGGTATGATATGATATGATGATGCCCATAGAGGCGTATCTTTTTAAAAGTGTATGTATATATATGTATAATGCATTTCATGTCAGTAGCCCCCAGAGGAACGTAGATGTTACAGGTTGTATCTCCTCTATCTCTCTTTACATTACGGTTCTTGTTTATGCTTTTCTGCCTTACATACTTGGTACATCATGCCTGGGGATGCTGTATTTCATGCCCGCAGGTCCCATTTGATAGGTTTACATTCCTCCTAGTAGGTTATTAGCTCAGCGGAGGTGTTGGTGCACTCCACTTGCTACGGAGTTTCCTATTTGGTCAGTATGCTTTGGATATGTATTGATTGGTATGGCGTGGCTCTGTCCCAACCTTTATGATTTTATGTACTCTTAGAGGCTTGTAGACAAATGTCAGGTTTATGGATACTTGTATGGCCTTGTCGGCCTATGTTTTATCATAAATGGTCATGTCGGACTTATAGGCCCGTATGTCACATGTATAAGTTTGTATATCATGTTGGGTCATCATATGTTGAATATTCCCTTATGTTTTATTCTTGTTATCTCATAACGGAGTTTATTGCTCATTTACTCATGATAGTATGATAAGAAAGATATGTTACATTGGTACTCGGTTGAGTAAGGTATCGGGTGTCCGTCGCATCCCTTCGGTTTGGGTCGTGACAGTTATGGGGATAAAAGAAAGTGCCACTGAGAAGGCAATCATAATATCAATTCAGAAGCAACCGTACATGCAAAAGGGCACAGAGGTAAGCAACTACAGTTAATTATAGGTAAGGAAGGATATCAAAAGGTTCGTAATAAGCTCACAGCTTTACGAGGGTCAACGGTTCTCGCTAAGTACTACAACGAAAAACTACCTGAGGAAATAAGGAAGAAGGCTTCAACTTAAGCACAATGACCTAAAGAAGAAATGATCGTGTAATAACAGCCTCACAACAACATTATAAGCACTCCAGAGGAAGTGGAACCTACCGTGACTAATGAACGAGAAGCAAAATTAAACGTAATATTCGAGATCATATGAGTTTCACGAAAACTCTGGCATGTGTGGGCACTACGATAAGCTAAGTATGGACCCAACAAGGGGGCAGAAAGGCCAGGAAAGGTAATCGCTTACTTTGAAAGAAAGCTAAAATAGAACGAAAGAAATTATTCTATCAATGATCCAGAGTTAGTTATGTTATGAACTCACTTAAGGGTTCAGAGTTTTATACATGCAGCATATACAGCCGTAGAAGATTTTGCTATACATTAAAAGAAAGAATTGAGCCCAAGTCATAAACGAAGGATTAAATTATTAAAGGGTTGTACCATGCATATTTCTCAAGCCCATGAAAGTATAAACAGGATAACTAATACCATGAACCACAGATCGTAAAATAGCTTAAGCCTACATAGAGGTTGATCAGAGGGAAGAGGAAACTAAAGAGTAACATCAACTAAGTAATCAGGAGTCTATTATTGGACCTAGAAAGGTAGAAATATCATGATTGAGAACATTGCAGGATCTCCCTTAAAAAAATCAGAGGTACGAGAGAGATAGTACAACAACCATAGTCTATAACGGCTCTACGATAAAGCCAGTAATAAGAAGTCAGTATGAAGCTCCCACCGGATTGTAGTATTATAATAGAGCTTCAAGTTGTGGTGTGAATCATACCTATGTGGAATGGATGTTATGAAAGAGATAAAATATATAATATGAGATTTTAATTAAGTAAGGTAAAGGTGAATAACGTACGAGATACTCAAATGTAGAAAGTTGTGAATAGTCCATACTTTCGGATAGAAGGCTATAAGCATGAGGATCCAATAACTGGGAATGATAGCGGCATCGTCAGTGGCAGGTCTTCTCGCCTATGATTTCTAAGTACTGAGAGATATATTTAAGAGAGTAGATAAGAGTTGGAAATGATGTGATGTCTCGCTTGACGTTCCAAAATAACATAACAAAATCTATGGTGCAAGCAAGTTGAAGGAAAGTTTATAAATGGATATGTATAGGTCGCAAGATAAAGTATGGTAGAGCAATAAAGTTTTAAGGAATCATGAGTAAGGATGAGGAAAAGTGAAAAGGTGACGAAGAGCAGACAGTTTCTCTATGTTATACAAAGCTCACTATAGCTTTAATGAACTCAAAGGAGTCTAAGATTAATAGCATTTAAAAGAATGAAATGTTGACCTAGTAATAAAATGAGGGTATAACTGCGACAGCTACAGGATGACGTTTTGTCCTTCGTTTGAATCATGATTTTTAAAAAAAAAGAAGAGAAGGAGAAAAGATTTCGCTGGCGGCACGAAATTAAAATACCCCCATAAGGTGAATCACATTGAGACACTATGAAATACGATTATGGGAATCACTTCGAATATTCGTTGGGGTAAAGTAAGCCCTAGGGGAAAAGTATTATGTAAAAAGTTTGAAGTTATCAATGGTATATTGTAGATCAATATTAAGGTGAATCAACAATAGATGGACAAAAGTCACAAAGTATGAGATGAGATTGGGCCATCATTCTAAAGATGAGCAGTAATTAGAAAGGACATAAATTTATACATATGGAATAAGCAACGAGAGTAAGCTAGGATTTGGTAGCAGACCTCAGAAACGATAAATTAAAGTAACAGTTATGGCAGTAAATTTATACGGATGGCTAAATGGACCTATGCGATGAGATATAGCAATATTTGTGAATTCAACAAAGTACCGAGCGAAGAACTTCAGCATACTCATATACGCCCAAATGGACATCTTATCAAGTTCTGCATATGAATCCTAGAGGTTGGGCACACTTACATGGTCAAAATTGTACAGGCTTCATGATGAAAGGTAGTAACAGTTATGAGATTGGAAGGATTCTGACTACAAGTTGTGGTGTGAGCAGGAGGTGTAAGGGGGGAATGCACAGGACTCAGGACTCATTCACAGAACAGTCGCCTAGATGTCAAGGGAAGTTCTAAAGTATTCGGAATATATAAGTTATGAAAATAATAAATGCATCAGTCAACATTCGAGGACGAATGTTCCAAAGGGGGGAATAGTGTTATGCCCCGCAATATTACGTCTCTGTAGTAATATATTACGGTAATGTTACCCTCTGCATGAGTATATTACGCCGATATTACATCCTGCGGTATTACACTACGATGATGTTATGCTTCACAATATTAAGTTACGACAGTGTTGCACCCAGCAATATTACATTATGGTGATGTTACACTTCGTAGTATTAAGTTACGATAGTGTTGCACCCAGGACTATTACATTACGGGGATGTTATGCTTTGCAGTATTAAGTTACGACGATATTGCACCCTGTAGTATTTTACGTTGGATTTGTCGTATGGTAATTGACATCAGTCCAAGTAAAAGATTATTTGGAGATTATAAGGATTATGCTATTTCACAAGTGATGAATAAATTCATAAAGGTGAAAGGGGAAGCAAGTCAAAGAAACTGAATTTTTCGTCCAAGTTTGGCATATTGGAGTAAACTACGGTCCGAGCTAAAATACCCGATATTTATGGAATAGTGACATGCAAGGTACTACATGCCCATGCTAGAAAGGTGTATAAGGTATGTGAAAAGTGAGTAATATTTTAAGTAAGAGGGAATAATTCTCAATTTTTTGGGTAATTGGTTAATTACCTAGTAACGGGACATTACCTAATTACCTAATAAGTGATCAAGATTAAATAAAAAACCCCACCCCACCCCATCCCACCCCAAGTGGCAGCAAGCTACTAATAATGTAAGTCACTCATCCTTATATTACATTAGGTGTCATCTTCATAAACTAGTAGCAAGACACCTCCACCTTGAAACATTTAAGAGCAAAATCTTGCAAATTCATTCCAAAGTTTTAATACAAGTCCAAAATGTGATTCATTCTAAAATCTCTTACGAAGGCATTAACTTAGGATGAAATATTAGACACTCCAAAAATCAGATTTCTATCATGAAATAACGAAGACTTTTAGAATTTTAGCAACGTAAAATCTTGCGGTTCTAAGGGAGTACGGTGTAACTTTTTCCAAGGATATCATACGGATTTTTCCTACTCCATGTATGTTAAGGATAATCTCTTCCTTCATTTTGGCATAATCTCGTCATTATACAAGTTGTATAAAGAGGCATAAAAAAAATTTATATCTCGAAATTTACGTATATTTTCCTAGTCTTGTAAGTTACAGTATTCTCCCTATCGGGACTTCATATTCAGTTGACTATTTCCTTTTTCCAGTCAAGAGAGGAGAGAATTTACATATATACAGTATTAAAAATATTTTCATTACCATCGAGCTATAATCGATGGGCAGGCCCCTATTGAGCAACCTCTTATTAGATGGTAAGTTATATACCGAGCCTACTGTGGCCGAGCGCTTATGAGCGAGCCCAACTGGTCAAAATACAGAGCCTAGTATGGCCGAGGCTTATGAGCGAGCCTACTATGGCAGAGCAGTTATATATATATTTATAGTGAGCCTTATAGGGTCAGACAACTATTTTACTTACTATATTAAGAGAGTTGTGTGAGTATCAGCAGGTAAGCATATCTTCAAATTAACTTTGACTTCCAACTACTTGAAGTTATTATATTATCAGTTCAGTTTTAGCTTTCAGTATATTACCTTAAATACTCAATACATTATTTCGTATTGTCGTCCCTTTTCTGGGGGCGTTGTATTTCATGTGTGCAAGTAAGACAGACAGATGAGTAGGCCTCTTCAATAAGTGTTGCCCGAGTTTAGCTTGATTGGTAAGCTCCATGCCTTTCGGAGTTTCTGGGTCTAGAGCCTTATGTACATCTTGTATATATGCGTATATATGTTATGAGTAGGTCAAGGAGCTGTTCCGATCACAGTATATCCATCAGTAGAGGCTTGTAGACATATCCTGTCAGTTAGTGATATGTTGGGCTTGCAGGCCTTGTATATATATTTGGTTGGTTTGTCAGTTGTAATAGTTATGACGGCCTTGTTGGCCCAATTTTATATTGACATTTAGTTAGCATTTGCAGTTATCTTGCAAGTTGGTATGCAATGATAGGTGAGGCACTGGGTTCCGGTCTCCCCCCTCCTCCCCAGGTTCATATCCCGGAATTTACATATATTTTGCTAGTCTCGCAAGTTACAATATTCTCTTTATCGGGACTTCATATTCATTTGAGTATTTCCTTCTTACAGTAAAGAGAGCAGAGAGTCTATATATAAAGTATTACAGTATTTTCATTACCATCGAGCTATAATCGATGGGCAGACCCCTATTGGGCAACCTCTGATCAGATGGTAAGTTATATGATGATCCTATTATGGTCGAGCGCATATGAGCGAGCCTA